CACCTGGGTGAATTAAAACATTCACTCCACCATCCAGTGTGATTCATGTACCAGAGTCCCTGGTCAGGACGCCAGGAGGATTTTGTGAGGAAAAGGAGAGATTTAATTGCTCTTGGGATTCTACTTTGTGTCAGGCCTGAGCTATGTGATTTTCCAAACATTTTATCATTTAACTCCAATAAGAGTCTTATCTCCTGATTTTATAGATGAGGATATTAAGGCTTAGAGAAATGAAATACCTTGCCCAAAGCCTCTCAAATTCTAAGGCCCGTTGTGGGGTTTTCAGCTTGAATTCGTTCGATTCCAGAACCCAGGAATCACAGAACTCTGTGATTTTTGAGACCTGTCATATGTCAAAATGGCTTTTTGTTTTTAATATCTTGATTCTTTTCCCCTTAGTGACTAACATTGTAAGCATTATGTTTTAAATAGAGAAAACTAGGTGGACTATATCAGAAAGACTTCAAGTCTAGAAATTGAAATTTTTATAAACATATAAATCTGTATATTTCCACATTCAGAAAATTCTCTAAGTTTACTACTTTTCTTTAGATTAGGCTCCACTGATGAGGCTACTTAGGGAAGATGAATATATTCTTATTTGAAATGAATTTTTTTTACTATGCTGTCATTGATTAAGAATCAGACACACTGAGCTCTAGTCTGCTTTATTCTTAACTTTCTCTGTGATCTCGGATCTGTCATTTCTCCTGTCTTTGAAAAGGGGTTAATTATATAGCTTGTCGACCATAAAAGCATTTTTTTGTGGAATTAAAATTATCAAAATGAAAATGATCTGATAAAATTATAAAACCCCATACCAGTAGGCATATTTATAAATGATACATTCTCCTAGTGGGATTTTTGTGCATTACTCATTTATCAACTATTTGTTGAACGTTATTCCGTGTCAGGTACTACACTAGGCACATGAAGTTACAATGATTTTTCATATGACCTGGTGTTTGCTTACTTGATTTTAAACTGCACTTAAAGGGGACTTGCAGATACTTCTCATTTTTATCTCCCTTACACAGTCTTAAATATATGTAATGCTTTTTAAATGTTTTCCTTGAATAGTGTTTTGCTTACCTCATGTCGTGAGGTCATAAGATGAGCTCCTTAGTATATATTGCAAGATTTTTTCTGTTCCAGTGTTCCAGTTTATAAATTTTCTTTTACAAATATAATATATTGAAATGCAAATAGCTTTCTGTGAATCCCAAAGAAAGAGGCTCCATGAGGATCTTTGGCATCAGTGAGAAAAGAAAATTCTCCACATATGAATTTGGAACTAAGGAAATTTCTACAGGAAAGCCCAGTTGTCAAAAAGGTACTTAATGAGCTTGACCTGTGAATAAAATGATTAAGAAGATGGCCAAGGGGGTAAGGTCAAGTTCAAAGCCTTATTATGGCACTTTTTTGCTGGGTGAGTCTTACCTGCATACCTAACCTCAGTTTCCTACCTGTTCAGTGGGAATGATGAAAGGCTGTACCTTATAAGTTGCCTGTACAGGCCCAAGGGCTGGGCCGCACAGACAGGAAGCATGCTAAGTGATAACTCCAACGTCACTCTGACCATGAGGCATACTCCTTCCACTCTGCCCTTCATCCAGTCCTAGAAGGAGGTCCATGTGCTCCTAGACTCTTGTTCAGAGTTGGCACGAATTAGATTTGCCTTAAAGAGAGAGTGCCACAGTCATCTTTTTTAACATGGCATGAATCATTTCTACAAAAGGGATGAAGGAATTCTAAATATACTCATCCTCGATAGAGTCTTCAAGGACAGAACCACATTTACGATGGAATTCTAGTTCTTCCATAAAATGATTCCCAATTTGACATAAAGCATGTAGATGTCCTTTCATTTTTCTCTCAGAGTGGATCATAGTCTGTCACCTAATTTGATGGGCAGGTAGCATATGAATGCTTTGCCTCTGTGAGGTGAGGGTTGTTCCTTGTACACAGAGAATTGAGATCATTGCTGTAACCCCAGGTTAAGGGGTCTAGTGTCGTATGAGAACGAGAAGGCTGGATGTGACCTGGTGATAGATGACAGGAGGAAGCTAATGTAAATGTGGGGAAAATCAAGGGGGAAAAAGTTCGGAGTTTCCTTTACAGTTACTTACAAGGTAAAATAGAAATTAACTGTCCCCATTTTTAGGATATAAGTATTACTCTCCTCTTCTTTAGTGTGAATCAGATATTATTAATTTTCAGTAACTGAGTTTGATATTTAGGATATTGAAACCTGTTGGTTTCATTCACAGCTGATGGGTTTAAATGGACTCCTATTTAGGGATGTTGGCAGTATAACAAATATTTGACTACCAAACATAATAAAAATGAACATTTAGTTAATTTTTGATTGTGTACTTATTTCCAAAGGAAAATATTTCATATGTGATTCTCCTGTCTCTGTACTCTACTTAAAATGTATGTAGATGAGAGTTGTGTGTATGTCAGGTAAATTTATGCTGTGGTGCGCTTGAAGAACATGGTGTGAATCTCTAATTATGTTAAAAAATTGATTTTCTTAGTGCAGCATTATACTCATTATATACTCTACACATTCCATTTTTGAACAGATTCCTGGCATGATAATTATATAATCATTCAGTACAGTAGAAACATCATTATGGTCACATACTAATTAGCTACTAAAATGAAACAAAACAGAACCTAGTTCACAGCTTATTATAAAAAGTGATTTAATATTATATAAAACTAAATGTATGGTTAAAATTATTATTTGCTTTAAATGTGAATCTTTTTCCCCTATGGGACACGGGAAGGAATCTGTGTTCTGGATGCTTATTACCTAATTTATTGGTTGGGCACATGTTACATTTTATTATCAGAGCCCTTATGACTAGACCTGTGTAGTAGAGCATCCAACAAACCTGCCAGTAGGAATTCTAGGCTCAGTACCTGGATGTGCCTCAGGGCTTCTGCAGAATCAGGATACTGGCCCGAGTCTTCAGACCATATTATCTCTAAGCCTCTGGGAACATGGGGTTAAGCAGTAAATCACTCATTTCTGGGATGCTGGCTTAAACATCTTTGGTGCTGAGGATAGGTGATCCTCAACTGTTTTTCTTCTCCACGTTGCACATTAGGAATATAGTATTGTCTTGCTGGTAACAATGAATCCTGACAGTTGTGATTCTCCAGGTGTGTTTGTGATGGGACAAGTCAGGTGACACGTAAGCTCTGGTAGAGGGCAGTAGGAGGGCACCAATAGGTTGGCAGATCCTTCAGGTAAGTCTGTTAGCATTGCCCTCACTATTCTTTAGAATTTCTTCTGTGGATAAAATAGGGTTTTACCCAGTATGTCAAGACTTCAGTGTCCTTTGTAAATACGTTTTTGACTACACAGCTTCAGCCACTCTTCTCTCGCACATCTATGGAATCTCGGTGAACATAAGTGGTGTAAGCTAGGTTGTGTGATCCTGATGCATACTATAAGCCATTAGGAATTAGAGACCTTTTTATTGCTGTGTTGTCGCTTTTGGTATCTCAGAATACTATTTCTATCATAAGAGCTTCTCCAGATAAACCCTTTATAAGTCAAACATTTTATAGATTTTATGCTACATGCTCGCTCTTTTCTTTTGTGTTTTCCTGTTGTCCTTCACTTTAGTTTTGACCACTGCAAGTATTAGTTTTACTTCTTATGCGATTTGCAATGCAATTGAAATACACAGAACACACGTGGAATAAAAGAGCACGACTACGCTTTCTAATGCACTAAATACACAATACTAGCTGGTGTCTGCCATCCTTGATGTAGCTGCTATGGGTCAGGGGGAGATGGGGTTGCTATTTGACTATTCAGTTCTGTGGTCCTGCAGTTACAAAATTGTATAGGAAACCAAAATATTTCAATCAAGAAAATATTCACTAATGAATCAGTGAGTTATATTATTCAAACATCCTCTTTGAAATATCTTTTGATTTATTTGAAGATAATCTGATTCAAATTGATCATAAAGTAAAATCATAAATCTTTCAAAGACTCTGTTTCATGAAGTCTGTGATATGATGGTCTAGAACATTTCTGCTCAGAGGCAAAGCCATGAAACAGTGAGGATCTCCAACTAAGAATTCTTTGAATATCAAAGAAATTAAGAAGAGGACTTTAGGAAAAATGATGAAGTCCTTGAATATTTTTTACAAATGTAGTTATGTTTAAAACCATCCTATAAAAATTAAATGCGTGAAGGTGTCATAATGTGCTAATATAAAATATTGTTGGAAAAAGTCTGCCAGAAACTCCAGTTCATTCATTTTTTTGCTCATTCTAAGAATTGCATGTAGTTTTAAATAATTGTCTAAACTTATTTTAATAGTGTGTGTTGTCCTTTTTCTAGCTAGGCCCAGTCAAATCTTTTTTAGCACTATTTGTATAAAATTTTAACACCCTTTTTAAGTGGAGCTACTTGAAATGATCTTTTTTCCAGAACCAACTCTCTTGGGGAATAAGGACCCCATGTATATAAAATAAATGTGTGATTCTGCATGGATAGCCATACATTTTTGTTGTCTTTTAGTGGTCTAAAATGAATGTCAGGATTTTAATTGAAATTAATTGTGGCTAAAGTACAAATAGGCAATGTATGTGTTTTCTTACTCAGCGAGCTTAGGCAGGGATCAGGAGATTAGTTGGATCAAGCTGATTATTTTCGAAAGGCTAATAAAACCATGTGTTATATAGGTCATTTTCTGGGCCATGGAAATAACTTTATTATAGTTCTATTAATGTCTTCCATTTGTATAACATTTTATTCTTAGAAAGTGAATCATTATTTCGTTACCCTTTGTAGTGTGTGTTATTTGTGATGAAATTGCGTGTTCTCCAAAAATTTTACCAGAATGTGTTCCTTATAAGTCCTCTCCGTGTGTTGACTCTATGTCTACAAGCTGAGTCTTTACACAGAGTGTAAAAGAAGTAGAAATACTGTTTTAAGACCCGAGTAGTGAAGCAGCTGTTTTTGCAGGTATCTTGTGGTCTGTAATCCTTCAGAACAAGACCGAATCTCAGTGGTCTCAGTCTATGTGAGTTCCCCCACAGCACAAGTGTCTTCTGCTTCCGGAAAGCCTGTGGAAATTCAGATGAGTGCAGTTTGGAATACAGCAACTACTATTTCACAGACAGCCTATGAGGTACGTTTTCGCCATAGAACTTAAAGAGGCACCATTAAAAAAGCATAGCCAGTATGTAGTTTATATATGTATCCATGCTCCCTTTGAGTCATCACATTGGTGTATGTGAAGTGGTTAAAGTTGTGGATACCAGGGGATTTAACTGACCAGTTAAATGACACTAAAGGAAAAGAGATCCTGTGTTTCCTAGAATACTAATATCTTCTTTAGTGTGTATATCACATGTTATTATTAGTATGTTATTAGCATGTATATTGTATATCTTTGTAAGTATTGGAACTTTTTCCTGAGGTAATGAAGTCATCATTACCTAAAAAATTTTGAAATTCTTTGTTTAACTCAATTCAGTAACAATTATGCACACTGAAGTTGAGATAAATAACACCTTTTCTAAATAACTTAGGTCCTTTCAGCGTTTCATTGCAAAGGTGACGTGACACACCATAAAAGAAGGACTTCCTAAAATAGAGGAAGGTGCTTTTTACCTGAGATACAACTGTGGAAAGCCTGGCCTGAAGTAATAGACATTTTTGGAGAAAATTTCTTAAAGTAATATTAAACTGGACCCCCGCATCACTAGAAAAGTTGAATTCTTGGAGTCTCGAGTGCAAATTAAACTGTACTTCTGAAGACACAGCCAAAAGCTAGGAACTCTAAATGAGAATTGCTTTGCTTGTTAAAAGCCATTGCTGGCTGCTTTCATAAATTCATAATCCTTTAGTTAGAAAGGAGAAGATAATAGAAGTTTTGGTCAGATGTTACAGGAAACAGCCTATCTAGAAAAGGGAGGAATAGCTCCTAGAAGGCAGAGGTCACGACTTACAGTGTGTGTGCATCCTCTGTGCTTTGTGCATTGTCTGCTGGACCCCAGGCATTCGATGGCCACTGTTAGCCTGCCTAATATTTATAGTATTACATTTACCACTTTTATTTTTAATGTACTTGAAACCATAGTATAAAAAGGGTCCTGATAATTAGGAAAAATCGTTGTTCACCTAAAGCTCCTACCTTCATGAAGCATTTTCTCCTCTGAGCATCCATTAAGAGCACCATAGGACAATTGAGGTTGCTCGTATAATTTCATATATTGAATGAAAGCATTCATGCCTTTGATAGTCCTACCAACCTGAAGTTATTAGATTCCCTGGATAAACGGAAATGTGGATACTCTACCCATAAATTCTCAAAACATCTTTAGAGTATTAAATTCTTTTTAAAATACGGTAGTTTTTTTGTTGTTGTTCTTACTAGATGTATAAATCCTTTTCTTTCAGTAGATTGCATTTCTCTTTAAAAAAATTCTCTCCTCTGTCTTTTAAAGATCTCCTTCCTAGTGCAGATGCCACCACTCGGACTGAAAGTGTATAGAATTTTGGAATCAGCAAGTTCAGACCCACATTTAGCTGAGTATGTGCTGCATAATGGTAACGTAAAAGATAAAGGAATTTTCAACATGAAGAATGTAAAAAGTACTGAAGAAGATATAACTCTAGAGAACTCCTTTGTTAAACTTCGGTTTGATCAGTCTGGGCTTTTGGAGGTATGTTCTGAATAGTTTCCAAATTCATGGAAGGCTTATCACTTTTATTATAATATGTGCAGATTATGTATGCAGAGGGGGGAAAGTCGATGCAAATACTCTGGGAGAAAGGATGGATGAGCTATATGTATCTGATATATGTGGTCCACTGTGACCACTTGCTCCTAACAAGGGTGGTCTGTGGGTGGTGCTACTCCGTGAACTGTTACTGGTCCACAAGATAAGTATAGAAGCTGTAATGGTTGAGAAAAATGTTTGTGGAAACTCTGAAAGCACAATGACACAATAAATTTATGCCTACTGAATCTAATAATAAAAAATTTGAGTGTATCTTTGGTATATCACTTTAAATTTAATTTTTCTAGTAATTCACTCTTATTGTACTTCACAAAAATATTGGTCCATGCATACTGGAAATAAAAAAATAAACCTGCTTCTTCAGTACAGAAAGTTTGAGAAGCACTGGTCCACATCTCTTAATTTGTGTATCTCTTTCTTCCTTAATGAAGTGTGTTCTTTTTGTTTCTATTGTGAAAGTTTTAAATTCTAAGTATTAGCTATAAAAGTATACTTTTAAATATAAGATTTTGGGTGTTCATCCAAGAATCGTGAACATTAGAGGCTGAATGTTAGCATTTTTCTGTCTGTCTTGAGGTTTTTTGGTGTTTTTTTTTTAATCAACATATACATGGAACCAGATGCAACATCATTAAAATCTTAATATAGTAAGTTGCTTTTAAACATTGTTTTTATCCTTAGGAAATGATAAATAAAGAAGACAGTAAACATCATGAAGTAAAAGTGCAATTTTCATGGTATGGAACCACCAGTAAAAAGGACAAAAGTGGTGCCTACCTCTTCTTACCTGATGGGGAAGCCAAGGTAAGTGCCAATGAACTGAGCTGTGAATAAGCATTTATTGAAAGAGTAATGAAGAAAAAAATAAGTTCATCTCATTATTTTGTCATCTGTTAGGTATAGATGAGTTGGTTCCACTATTATATTTCCTTATTGACACTTGGCAATCGGTAGTCGTGAGTGTTAGGTAAACAAATAATTTTTCAGGGTTGGAATTCATTAAGGTGCTACAATGAACAGTTGCTCTCCATGGAAAGAAGCCAGATTTGTTGGAGGGTTCAGGTGCTGTTGTGGTGTTCTGTGTGGCACAGCACATATACAGAGACAAATTATCTAGCCATAGGAGAAAAATAAATTGTCCAGTGGGCCATTTTTCTCCTTAACTTTCAGCACTTTAAAAAACAAAAAAAAATTTCCCTCCCCTTGACTGTAAAGGTGTAATAATATATACAAATTTTGGCACATTTTTGAAAATGCAGAAAACTGAAGAAAACAATAAAATTTACCAACTATTCCAAAGGCCATGCAAACCACTGCCAACATTTTGATGTATTTTTTATTGTCTTACTATGCATATCCCTTTCTCCCCCATTTGCACTGTTGTGACAGTGCTCACAATCAAATGGTATATTCTTCGAAAACACAGTTTTAATATATACTGTTGTGATTAAAGGTCTGAGGGTCCAATGTCTAACATGGTGACTGTAGTTGATAACACCATATTATATGATATGCTGAGAGAGTAGAACTTAAATGTTTTCACACACACAAAAATGTATATATATGTAAAAAAAAAAAAAAAAAGAATTTCCTATTGTTGCCTATGTAGATTTTCTCCCAATACTTCACTACTGTAACATTGTGATAAGCTTTCTTTGTAGCATTCTTTTTATGCAGTGATGATTATTTCCTGAGAATAACTTTCTAGAAGAGTTATTTTGTGTCAGTGGATGAGGCCTTTAAGACTTGATACAGGGGCGCCTGGGTGGCTCAGATGGTTAAGCGTCTGCCTTCGGCTCAGGTCATGATCCTGGAGTCCCGGGATGGAGTCCCGCATCGGGCTCCCTGCTCGGCAGGGAGTCTGCTTCTCCCTCTGACCCTCCTCCCTCTCCTGCTCTCTGTCTCTCATTCTCTCTCTCTCAAATAAATAAATAAAATCTTTAAAAAAAAAAAGACTTGATACATACTGGGGCGCCTGGGTGGCTCAGTTGTTAAGCATCTGCCTTCGGCTCAGGTCCTGGTCCCAGGGTCCTGGGATGGAGCCCCGCATCAGGCTCCCTGCTCTGCGGGGAGCCTGCTTCTCCCTCTCCCACTCCCCCTGCTTGTGTTCCCTCTCTAGCTGTGTTTCTCTCTGTCAAATAAATAAAACCTTTAAAAAAAAAAAAAAAAGACTTGATACATACTATTTCTCTGTCCTCTAAAGTGACTGCATAAATATTCGCTCCCACCAGCATTTTTGAGAGTAGCTCTCTAATATACCACTCCAAGCACTGAGAATCAGTCATATCAAAAGCTTTACCTATAATAATGGGTGAAAAATATTTTACTGTTAAGTTTTTGTGATTATTAGGGAAGCTAAACTTCATACATTTATTTCTCTCTCCTATATCTTTTGTGAGTTTCATATATAAGTTCTTTGACCATTTTTCTACTGGTATGACTTACGGATCTATAAGCATTCTTTATATATGGTAAAAATTAATCCTTTTTCCTATATACTGCAAAATGTTCCATCAGTGTGTCATTTAATTTAATTATGTTATGCTGTTATAGTATTTTTTTTTAATTTTTGTGTAGTCAGTTCTGTATTTTTTTCTTTAGAACATCTTCCTTTGCTTTTCTACTTATATAGGTTTTCTCTACTTCAAGATAAGTTAAATATTCTCCATATTTTGTTGCCTAGAAACCTGTCTCCTGCAGAAGTTACTGTTGTTCTTCAATTTCGAAAAACCTGTTAGCCGAAATCAAATAATAGATTTTATTTTATTTTTTTTTAAAGATTTTATTTATTTATTTGACAGAGAGAGACACAGAGAGAGAAGGAACACAAGCAGCAGGGGTGGGAGAGGGAGAAGCAGGCTTCTCGCTGAGCAGGGAGCCCGATGCGGGGCTCGATCCCAGCACCCCGGGACCATGACCTGAGCTGAAGGCAGACGCTTAACGACTGAGCCACCCAGGCGCCCCAAATAATAGATTTTAAAGAATAGCATTGACCGTTCTAAGGAGTCTAGTTTTTTGTTGTTTCGATTTTTTTTTTTAATCAGTGAGGAATTAAAGGTAAACTACAGCTCATAGTAGCCGTTCTAGGAAGGGTAGTGGATCCTAAGTATAAGCTGTATCAGTCTGTTCTCACTTGGACAAGAATTTGGGTTTTGGGTTTTTTTTTTTTTTTTTAAGATTTTTATTTATTTATTTGAGAGAGAGAGTCAGAGAGAGGGCACAAGCAAGGGGAGCAGCAGAGGGAGACGGAGAAGCAGGCTCCCTGCTCAGCAGGGAGACCGACGTGGGGCTTGATTCCAGAAACCTGGGATCATAACCCCAGCCAAAGGCAGACGCTTAACCGACTGAGTCACCCAGGCACCCCAGGAATTTGGTTTTGATTGACTGTTCTTATACCAAAGAAAAAATGAAAAATAACAATACTTCTGGAATATTATGCATGGACAATTGTGACTAATTTATTTAAAATTATTCTATCTTTAAATAGCTCTAATATTAAATTAAAAAACCGAGAGAATTATCATATATTTACAAAGAGAAAATAAAAGACTATCAGGGAGGCAGGTGGGTGCATCAGAAACAGGTAGGAGCCCAGAAATCCCCATGCCAGCTTTCATCTTCTTCCCTTACTTTTTAGCTATATGGTAAAATTAGGTCCAAGAACTTTGTAAACTCTTAATGCATTATATTAATTTCAGAATATTTTTTCTGGAACCAGAGAGGTACATTTGGAAGAAAATTTCACAGTTCTGAAAATCTGATGCTACTTAAGTAGTTCGCAATGCAAGCCTAGCTCGTCATGCCATTGTTGAGCTTCTGCAGCCTGTAATGCTTAAGAAAATATAATTCCTTCAAAAAAAAAGAGAAAATATAATTCTTCATAAATGCTTTCAATGTGTTCCTATGTCACAGAAGTATGTTCTGTTCCTGATTTTTCTTGACAATTAGATTCGAAATGACGAAACCTTAAACCAGTGGTTGCCATAGTTTTTTCAAGTTTGTAAATTTGCTTTATATTCAGCTAGTTCTTTCTAGTAAAAGGGCAGTGTGTTTTATAGACTAGTAAACCTAACTGTGATTAAGCAATTCTCTGAATCCTGCTTTCTGTTTGCTTAGATGACTCCCTGTGGTCATCCTTGCCACCTGCCCGACCCCTGAACATTAGGGGGCCACGGTTATAATAAACGTTTGCCTGGGAAAATGTCACTGCTGCAGAATGAATGATATTTCTAATAAATAGCACATGGACAATATAGAAGGGTTTTAATTAGAAATTTTTATAGCTGGGAGGGAATGTTTGTAGATCACCTAGGCCAGTCAAGTTGTAAACATTTTTATTTTCTATTTTCAGCACTTTTTGTCTAATGAAAAACCTTATACTCCATTTTTATAGCATGCGCCTGTTCTGATACCTTGTAAGGTTTTGTTTTCACTTGAGATTGCAAATATCAGGTGGTATGTATTTGCCATTTGGGAAATGATAATAAACATCCCTTGGAAAAGTTAAAAGCTGAAATTTTTTCTTAAAAATGTCATTTCCTCCTCAGCCTTATGTTTACACAACACTGCCCTTTGTCAGAGTGCAACGTGGAAGGTTTTACTCAGACGTGACTTGCTTTTTGGAACATGTTACCCATAGGGTCCGACTGTACAACATCCAAGGTAAGAAAACAAAGCAATAGCTGTGAAACATGTACTCTGGTTCTGGAATTCTTTGTGTGTCGTTTTTAATAAACTAGCAATTGGTTTTTTGTGTTTTTTTTTTTTTTGTTATGTTATGTTAATCACCATACATTACATCACTAGTTTTAGATGAAGTGTTCCATGATTCGTTGTTTGTGCATAACACCCAGTGCTCCATGCAGTACGTGCCCTCTTTAATACCCATCACCAGGCTCACTCATCCCCCCACCCCCTCCCCTCTAGAACCCTCAGTTTGTTTCTCAGAGTCCATCGCCTCTCATGGAGCAATTGGTTTTTGAACATGGTATTTATGGTGGTCTTTCCTAAACTTGTCATTATACTCACTGTGTGGTTTAAAAATATACTTAGCCTTTTGATAATCAGAAATGGTAAAACATTTAACTCTACATATGTATGTTCTTTCCCTATATATATCTCCTCTTACGTCTCATAATATTTGTCTTGGTCATGAGTTCATTAATTGGAATCTTTATTTCTAAGATCTAAAAACAGTGGGGTTTTTTGTTGTTGTTTTAATTTTACAAAATGGGAATTCTGTCAATTACGGCTTTCAGTTAGTAGATCATTAACCGTCTCTGACATGCACACACACCCCCCACGTATGGCCTGCCTTAAATATGGAATGTATTACAATAGCAGGTGTTACTGGAATTTAACTTTCTTTTAAGAAAAACGTTCGTTACTAATTCTTTCTGTTTACAAGTCTTTACCTGGGAGAGTATAAAATCGGGCGATTGTTTATTGCTTTTAGGATGGGACTGATGAGCAGCATCTTTATCAACCAAGTGACAGTAAATAGGCTTTTAATCCTCTTAGGGACTTAACCATGGGCAGTGGTTCTTGTCCTTCCTTAGGATTTGGATGGAGCCGTGGCTCCCAGACACCCTCAGAGTTGCACATTTATGTTGGTTCATGTTGAATTCACTTTTTTTAGAATGGAGTACTTTTCCAACCACAAATTTAATCCTAGTAACCAGACCACTTAACCATGGTATCAACTCTCTTAGAAAAGGACCTCATAAAAATGCCACTTTAGATTCTTCTTTGCTGTTAGCTAGGCTGAAAAAGTTAGAAAAGGAAATATTGTTTCCTTGAATCTTTATACCAGTAGATAATAAAGCGTTTGAAACTAATGACAAAATATATGGGCAGGCGCTGTTTGCTTTTTGGGTTTTGTGGGGAAGCAAAGGGTACTGTGTTCAGGGAATGTTCACTTTGCTACCTACAAGAAAGTCTGAAATAATCTTTTATTGAGTTTTATTGAGTTTTCTAAAATCTCTGGTAAGCCAGAAACAATATTTTTGACCATCCTTTTCTACTCTTGCATAAGCCATTGTTCAACATCTCTGAGAGCTCTAAAATTATACCTTCAGCTACGGCCAGAGGTTTCATTTTATGGGTAGAAAGTAGCATCCCCATCACACAGGAGATGTGCTTATCTGCTTTTAGATTTGCTTAAAAAACTGTTGCTTGTAATGGAATGTTTCTTCCTTGAGTACAGCATGGCCCCCACTTTGGCCCAGGCCTGTGTCATCAAGCATGGTTTACTGTTGTTTTTCCTTCGGTCTACTTAGGAGGTAGGCTGTGTGACAGAGTTAATGCTGAAGCAGCTCGCCAGAGAATTCCTACTTCTCAGTCAAGTCCGTTTGCTTAATTGCTTTTCTTTTTGTTTAAATGAGTCTGTCACCATCATTGCAGCCTCAGAGTTTTCGCAGGTTGTCCAGGGGATCTGGAGCTCATCACAGAGGATGGTTTCCGTAAATTAGAGGGCCCTCTTCTGCTGCTGTGACTATAAGCTTAGTTTGCCGTCATAGCCCAGTGGTTGATTTGGAAATTAATAGGCTCTGACTTGCCTGTGTACTCAACCCAACAAACATGCATTTACCAGGCCCTAAAAGCTTTTCTTTTCTCCTCTTTCCTTCTCCCCAGCTAAGCAGTCCAAAATGCCCAATGGCTGACTAGTAGCCCCTTTGCAGAACCAGGAACCACCAAGATTTAACTGCCTCCCAGCCCTCCAAGGTGACAATGCCAGTGGATTGGTCAGTTAAGAAAGAGAAGTTGTTCTCAACTGGAAGCTTAGAGTATTAGCATAACAAAAATAATAATAATAAAATAAGAATACAGACCTCGAATTGCCTCTGGATGTCACAATGGGTGGAATAAACAGGGTGAAGCATTTGGATGAGATTTCTGTAGCTTGAAAGCAGAAAGCTTCAGAAGTTGGTGGGAAACGACAGATAAATAAGTTAGGTATAACGTGAAGTTAACTTAGAGTGCTTCTCCAGATGGGTTTTACTGTTCTTGGCTTGGATTGAACCTGAAACCAGCGTGTATAACCATTCAAAGTGACATAGCAATCTTTATTTTTGCTCTCTCAAGCCCAGAGTGTTTATATTTTTTGTTTTTTTCCAACATGAAAGCAATCGGTGGGAGATGGAGATACCAGTTCACCTGAAAGGCTTTCATTCCAACTATACATCCTTCTATGTTTGTATCTGAGCCCCTCTCAACAAATCTCCCTCTTGGAAAAAATAAGCCCCGTTGTGGAGAGAGAGCCTCTTCTCAGTCGCCTTCCTGACCTCCCTCCATCTGTCGTTTTCTTTCACATACCGGTGCATGAAGGCTCAGGTTGTCTGGATCCTGGCTCATTGGGGTTTTAATTAAATCACTGGTCGAAACCTAAGGAAGAGATGTGAGGTCTTCAGGGTGTTTGGATATCGACGAGTTCAAAGTGCCTGAATGGGGTCTGGTTATGCTGCACCAAAGCAGCCATACTGTGAAATACTTGAAAGCTCTTCGGTGTTTTAAACTTCGGCCTCATGTAAACCAGGTATCTGGGCGATTGATCAAAATCCATGGACAGGATGTAGCTTTTCGTCTTAGGTGTAGAGAAAACATCAGCCAACTTCCATGCTTTTGCCGAGTGGCTTGCGTTTAATATTTCTTGAAAGAACGTAAATACCTACTTTCAAATTTAACTTTCTAAATTGTCTTTGGATGTATGCTAATTGTGCCCCCTTTAAATAAACTGACCAGATGCAGTTATTCGGATGAGTATTAATGAATAGAGCCTGTTTGTTGTTAGTACCAAATTTATGAGCCAGAAAAAAATGGGGCTTGGGGGAGAGAAACTATTAATATTTTATGATTAGGTACTATAATGGTATTAGGTTACTAAACCATTAATTATACAAAAGATTTTATTACCTCTCAGCAACAAGGATAAAGAAACAGAAAGAGTTGATATTATGGAATATCTGTCTTTATTGAGAGTCTATATTAAATGTTTCAAATTCAGTTTACTTGAAATATTCTTTTAAAAAAACTAAAGTAATACAAACCTGATAAAGTATCCTTAAATTCCTCAGTCTCTATTTTAGTTACTCTTTGACCGTTTTCTCCCCCAAAGTAACCTTTGGCTCCAATTAAGCTTTGGGAGAGAAAACAAAAGCAAGAACAGAAAGCAAACAGCACTTCCCAGATTATAAAAACTGTGTGGTCATCATTGATTTTGCAACAAACTGAGTTGGGAGGCGTAGGTTCAACCAACTTTGTTTTTTTTGTTTTTTGTTTTTTTCTTGGTGTTTTATATTTAAGTTTTAGTGTCTATTTGTGTTCTCTCCAGATTCTGAAAATGGTCAGAGGTGCAGTTTAGAGTCCTCTCTTAACATCATTTAAGCTATTAAAAAACACTCTTGTGTTTCTTTTCATTATTGTTCAAACATTACATTCAAAACGTTTCTAGAAATATTAAATTAGAGGAAATCTTGTGCTCACTAGCTTTAAAAGCTCTACAAGATCAGAGGGATTTGAAAGAGTTCTAATGCAACACAATGTATCGCCTTCTATCAGGTTAAATAAGAAATCCATTTTGTAGCACCCATAATTTAATGAAATGCCCTTTTGGAACTATTTTTTTTTTAATTTTCCAAAGATTATATTTAGTTTGTAGAAAATAACATTTTTCTGGAGGAAAAGATGGGAGAAATGAGGATTAATTTTTCTTGCACTATAATCATCTTTCATTAAATTGAAGCTTTTCGTGTCACTAAGGCTACTTTAGCTTTTTTTTGTTAATCTTGATTTGGAAGATAGAATGTGATACAGGCAGAAGCCCCTGTATCCCCTTACGTTATATTTGTTTCATCACAACAAATGCATACCTTGCAGTGACATCATGATCAGTAAGTGACATTTGCTAGCTGTGGCTTCATTTGTCTTTGGAGTTGTAATTATTAAACTTTGGTGCCCTAGTTTTTTGACATCAACAGCTACTTTGAAGAATGAGGTTGCTATGGGTTACCAGTGTGTCCTGTACATTTTCACTAGCACAAGGTTCAGGTTCCAGATCGGTTAAAATATATACCTTCAAGCTTCCCCCCGCCTCTCCGCCCCAGGACTACGTTCTCCTAGGCGGGTGTTTGTGAATGAATGAGTATGTGTGCAAACCATGTTTCAACCCTTAAGAGAAATATCTAAATGCAATACTTTTGCCTATTTTCCACCAACATACTATGAAAGTACTATATGTAATGGATCTTGCTAAAAGAAAGCAAGTAGCCTGGAGGTAAAATGTAATGAACTGCCATCAAAAAGTATGGAAGAAAAGACTTTCCTTTGGCTGCAATGACTGAGTAATTTCCTTGCATGGGCACATTTAGCATTCAAAAAGAGGTCGCTTAGTTTTTCTCTGTTTTGAATATGTAATGTGATTGGATTCATAACATGACCCTTGACTTTTAGAAAGTCAAAATGAACTCCATCTAGTTAAACACATAAGAGAATCACACTGGGAATTAGAGGTCTGAATCCTCAGTTGTGCCTTGAAGCCAACCAGTGACCTTGAGTTTGTCCTTAGATTTCTTACGGACTCAGTTTCTTAAACTGTAGAAAGACTAGATAGATGGCCAATTAGGTATAACCATTAAAGAGTCTTCACAAAACTTAGTATTACATAA